TGCCCTACCTGCTTTACTATTGATCCAGTGCCAAGTTCATCATGTTTATATATATTTCCCTGTTTTAAAGCATATTTTCTTTCAAACAGCACTATGAAGATTTTACTTTATAGGATATAGAAATAAAACTCAAGAAAAATAATTACTGATGACAATTGTCACTAATAGATAAGCTTGCATCCATGCTGACTGATTTTAAAACTAAACTGCTTGTAAAGTTCAGCATTTTATAATCAGTTGCAAGTTGTTTATGATACTCTTAAAAAACAAAAAAAAAGGATGAATGTATTCGGGTTCCTTGGTATTGCTTTCAAGAAGCAATGTTCTAGAACTTCTCACTGTAATATGTCAGCTATTAGCCACATGTGGTTACTGAGCACTTGAAACATGGTGAGTCCAAATTGATAGGTAAAGGTATACAATAAATATCAGATTTCATAAACTTGGCATAAAAGAGTATAAACTCTCGTTTATATTTTTATATTGTTCCCATGTTAGAGTAACAATACTTGGGGACATGTTAGATTAAAGAAAGTATTTAAGTGCTTTTGACACTTTCCTTATATTATTATTATTATTATTATTTTTGCTTTTTGGGTCACACCCGGCGATGCTCAGGGGTTACTCCTGGCTTTGCACTCAGGAATCACTCCTGGCGGTGCTCGGTGGACCATATGGGATGCTGGGAATCAAACCTGGGTCAGCGACGTGCAAGGCAAATGCCCTACCTGCTATGCTATTGCTCCAGCCCCTGCTTATATTCTTTTTAAATAGAGCTACTGAAACATGTAAGTTACATACATGGTGTGTGTCATATTTCCTTCAGAGAGTGGACAGCTCTATTCTAGAGAGTTAGATGAGATAGATGAGCTGCATTCTAATTCCCTCGAAACCTTTTGGGAGCCATAGGCTGTGGGCAATTTCTTCAACTTCTCAGCCCTGGGCTACTTAGAAATAAATTCATTCAGCAAATATTTAGAGTTCTTCTTACAAAGAACCTGATCGTGATCTGGGCAATACAAGATCTGAAACTCGTTACAAACTCAAATCAGTGTTTTCCCATTTCACCTTCCCCTTCATTGCACCCTAGTGGCTTTCCAGGGAGCCCCTGACTCATGCCTATGGTAGACTCCTTGGTCCATGTGTAGAGATGGGTGGGCTGACATTACCACCGACCCTGTAGGCTCGCTTTGCCACTCTTGTAGTGGCGTGGCCTCAGAACCACCACCCATCCCACACCCCATTTTTTGGGTACAAAATTGATCTATAAACTATGACACATGTCACATTAGGCTCCCACTGAGACAAGTACAATACAATATATTTGTGAAAAATATATAATTCTTTTTTTGCTTTTGGGGTCACACCTGGCGATGCACAGGGGTTACTCCTGGCTCTGTGCTCAGGAGTTACTCCTGGCGGTGCTCGGGACCATATGGGATGCTGGGAATCGAACCCGGGTTGGCCGTGTGCAAGGCAAACGCCCTACCTGCTGTGCTATCTCTCCAGCCCCGGAAAATATATGATTTTAAAAACCAAAATCAAACAGAACACCTGTGGAGAAGCCTGCCCTCAGCCCTCTATGCACAACCCCATAACTTGTCCCAAAAAAATGAAACAAAGCAAAAAAAGCCAAGTCACTGAAGGTTGAACGCAACACCAGCAGTATCTCATGGCTTTCATCCTCTCTAATATTTTCTGTTATGCTGTACAATATGCTCGAGACGCCAGAGCACACAGGATTGTGATCTTTGCATCCTCCCAGTCTTTGAACATCTTGTGTTTTCCTTGAGGCTCCCTCATTTCCATATTCTCTCTAAGAAAGTGCAATGACATAGACTATTGGTGGACATGGTATTAATTTCTTTATGTTGGCCCACAGCATCTTACCCACGTGACTTGCTTTGCCCAATGGGACGTTAGCAAAAATGATCAAAGTGGAGACCCAACAAGCACTCATTCATTGAGACTTATCCTCTTGGCATCTTACAATCATGCTGTGAGGACTCCCATTTAGCCTGGAGGAAAGGTCCACTCTGAGGAGTAGAGGGGGGTGGTATATTCAGATAAGTGGTTCTAGACCTGGGGTGACTGAACCCTTTGGGGGATATTTGGCAATGTCAAGAGATACTTGGTTGTTACCACTGGAGAGAAAGTGCTATTCCTCTAGAGTGGGTGGAGATATAGGTGCTGCTCAATGTCTTCCAGTCAACCACCCGCGTGAAGAAGTACCCGGAATGAACGTCTAGAGTGCCATCTTTGAGAAACCAGCACTCATCCAGGGTTTCTGCCCATCTGCAGTTCTGTAGATCAAGAATATAGGATCTTGGGATAAAAAGCATTTAAATTGAAATAAAATCCTCTCTAGCTCTTCTTTTCACCCCTACATTTATCAGTGGCAGTTTTCTGAGCAGTCTTCTACTCAGATGAGTTTAGATGATTCCCTTTGATCCCAGTGGTACTTTTCTGTTGTTTATCCTTAATATTTAAGTTTAGTCGAAATGTTGCGGCAACTACCATGCTGTTAGATGCGCCAACCCAGATATTGCCTCTCCCTGGGATTATTGAAGTTCAAGGTTTGTCATGATTTCATTTGATCTTTCAAAGCCCCACCATCAAGAAATTCAGATATCAAGGGCGTTAGAGTCCACCCGCTTTGTTATCAAAGAACCACAGGCCCACCATGCTGTGGGGTAACAAGATTCCACTTTCTCAACCCGAGAAGAACATTATATTTTGTCTATAAGAGAAATTTTAAGAATATAATACATACAACAATATTGTTGGCAGTAAATTTTATCAAGTGAACTCAAAATAATTACATTAGAAGACACATACAATCAAACTTTTAGGTATATGGTTGAATATCAAATTGTATTACTATGGTAGTGAACTATGAAATACATAGACAATAAATAATTAAAAGTAGAGTTTAAAGACAATGGAGCAACAAAAATCCATGCAAAGTGAAGGGGTAGAAATGCTACTAGAAATGATGCTTTGGGTTCTTCTTGGCAAATAGGAAGAATCAGGAGTTTAAAAGAAACACCTACGCTAGGAAACTTAATTGGCAAAATTCAAGGACCCTCCCACCCCCCTCCAACATGAAAAATCCCACTGAAATGAGCAAAGTCATAATCCCCTGAGTGTCAATATTATGAAATCAGCCAGCAGCTGGCTAGAGCCCACCTGCTGTTGACCTCCTCTGCGTGACAGAATCAATACTCAGTGTCAGGTCACACGCACCTTGGATGGAATCCCTTTGGTCTAATCGCCACTGATCTTCCCTCTGCAGTTCCCCTTCCCCAAATTTTGTTTGTGCCATAGCGGACTCTGCATTTGCTTCTTGAAATTTTTTTTAGATTTCCTGCTGATTTTATTTGTTTAGGTTTTGTTTTGTTTTTAACTTTTTTTTATTAGTGAATCACCGTGAGGTACAGTTACAGACTTACAGACTTCCATGCTTGCGTTTCAGTCATGCAATGGTCGAGTACCCATCCCTCCACCAGTGCCCATGCTCCTGCATGACCTAAAGAAGAAGGTTTGGGGAGTTGGAGCTGAAAGCCTGTGGGGGCTGTTAGTATTCCTGAGGTTTGTATTTTTTTTTTTTTTGCTTTTTGGGTCACACCCCGCGATGCACAGGGGTTACTCCTGGCTCTGCACTCAGGAATCACTCCTGGCGGAGCTCAGGGGACCATATGGGATGCTGGGAATCGAACCCGCTGTTTGACTTTTTGAGAAAGGAACAACAGGGAAATTGCAAGGCTGACCTGGGGATCACCTCTACATTTTCAAAAATGTGGAATCCGGAGGGCTTTGGGGTTTGGAGAGCAACCCCGGCTCCCAAAGTCACAGTCCACACTCCAGGAGGGAGCCGACATTGCAGCCTCTCAAGGACTCAGGGCAATTCTGGAGCTGTGGGATCAGCAACTTTTGACTAAGTGCTAATTCAGGTTTCAGGGGCCAAGAACCAGAACGGAGAGGATATTAGGAATATATTATTCTGTTGCATTATTACATAACGGGAGAGAAAACAAATGCTTTTTTATTGGTGAAATCCCAAGCTTAGTGATTATTGTGCATTTCTTTTTGCAGTCCAGACCTACTATAAAGAGAAAAGAGGGTTCGTTCAGGGTTTTTGCATCTGGGGGTTGGGGGGGGAATGTTCCTCTTCATCCAGACTGCAAGGTAGTGCAGCTCTTAGCACTTGATCGCACTGTTCCTACATTACAATAGGTGCTTAGGTCGGCTAACAACAAAAGCAGCTTTGCACCTGTGGGTCTGGGTCCGAGGGTCCCCGTTTGCACATCCTTGTCTTTAGCTCCGGGCTCGGAGCGTCCCAGGGTGACGGGGCACTCGTGTCTGTGAAGCGGCTTCAGCCTCGCTTCCCTCGTCCAGTCGCTCCGCCAGCCGGGTTCTCCGAGAGACACGGGTCCTAGCCTGGGGAGCAGATAGAAACATCAAGAGCTCTGGATGTTGGGGAGCTGTCGCAAGGTGCGGGACACCTCCAAGGCTGGGGATGCTCCCGGCTCTCCGGCGGCGGCTCTCGCTCTTCATTCCGCTTCCTTCCCCCTTCTCAACTCCTCCCGTTTCCCTCCTCCGGGGGCCCTGCACCGAGCGCTCGCGCTCCCCCTCATCCTCTTCCTCTTCCTCCTCCTCCATCCCTCCTCCCTGCCCTCCCCGGCTGGCACTTCCTCGGCAGCGGCGGCCGCGCCACTTTCCCGCGCCGGGGCGCCGCCGGCGGCCGCTGCAGTTCTCACCTCCGGGATCGGCCCGCCCCCGGGGGCCGCGCCGCCTGCCCTCGGGTCCCCGCCCTCGGGGGGGGGGGGAGGGCCGGGTCCCAGGGCCCGGGTGGCACCCCCCCCCCCCACCCCCCCGGCGCCGCCCCGCCCCGCCCCCCCGCCGCCCCTCGCGCTCCGCCCTCTGTCCTGTTCCTCCCGGGCCCGCGCCGCCCTCCGGCCGCCGCACTTTCCCGCTCTCGCCGCCGCCGCCGCCACCGCCACCGCCGCCGCCACCGCCACCACCATGCCCAACATCGTGCTGTTCAGCGGCAGCTCGCATCAGGACCTGTCCCAGCGCGTGGCCGATCGCCTGGGCCTGGAGCTGGGCAAGGTGGTCACCAAGAAGTTCAGCAACCAGGAGACCAGGTGGGGGGGGGACCGCCCCGGCGCGGCCGGCTGGGAACCGGGAGCGAGGTGGGGAGGGTGGTGGCGGTGGCGGTGGCGGGGAGTTGAGTGGGGACGCGCGCGTGGGGGGGGAGGGGAAGGGGACGGTCACCCGCGATCCCGGAGCTCCGCCGTGTCCCGCCGTCCTCGCCGCCTTCCGGGGAGGGCCGGCCCGACGCGGCCTCCTCCGGCAGCCCCGCCGCGTCCGGCCCCAGCCGGGTAGCGCGGCCCGAGTCCGGAAGGGCGAGCGCGCGCGGTCACCCAGTCGCGCCGAGGGGGGCACCCGTGGGCAGGGACGCCCGCCTCTTTCAACCCCCCCAACCCCGTCCCCGCGCCCCGATCGCCTGCCGGGCACCCCCCCCCACACACACACACCCGCCCGCCAGCAGGTTCCGTCCACGTCCCCAGCGGGGCTGCGACCTGCCCTGCCCCTTACCTAGGTCGCCCGAGCCCTCCGCACCCGTGCCCGAGGTTCCGACCCGGGCCGATCCCGGCGTCTGCGTGCAGTTCCTGGCCCGGGACGCGCTGTTGCAGTTCCCCCACTCCCGGGGAAGCGGCCGCCGCCGCCGGCTGCCGGGGACGCACGTGTTGGGCTCCCCAGAGCAGCCGCTAGTTCCTCTGCCGCCGATCCCACCCCCACCCCCGCAACCCCCCCGGCTCGGCTTTTTTGCGGCTTCTCGGAAGTTGTGGCACTCGGCAGTGGCCGCGACTTGGAGCGTCACCCGGTGGTCTGGGCTCCCCGCGGTCCGCGGCGGCGGCGGCGGCGGCGGCGGCGGCGGCTCCTCTCGGCACCTGCCCGAGTGCGCGAAACCCTTGGATGGATTTCCCGTGGCCCTCCCGGCGCCCCCGCCTCTCCCTTCAAACGAGTCTGTGTGCACGCCCGAGGCGTTCGGGTGGCGTTCACAAAGAAACGGCCAATTCGGACAACGTTTCCCCCCCCCCACCCGCGTGGTGCCAGAACGGGTTGGGGCAAGCAGCCCCAAAATAAGAATCTCCGACCATCCCACGTTTCGAAAATGAGCTCGAAACGAACGGGAGACCCGCCTCCAAAGTCTTAAGAGCTATCTGTAAAACAAAACCCAAAAAGTATTTTCTTTAAAGCGGGTGGGGGCGGGGGGGTGTGTGGAGAAAATCATGATGACCTTGAATTAGGCAGAAATTTCTCAAGGACTGGGGAATTCAAGTTTCTTAGATAGGGAGGAGGCGTGCATAAAAGGGAAGGTGATGGCAGTTGTTTTTGAGGGGTATGAGAATCCCTTTTAGATAGGAAGTTGGCGCCAGACCCTGTGTCTGTAGAAGTGAAACATGTGTTACTAGCTGAGTGCGGTGGGGGGGGGGGAGTGGGGGGGGCAACCAGGCGAGCCCTTCACCGGCAGTGATCAGACTCTGCAGAGCAAATGCTCCAGGTCCCAGGATGTGAAGCAGCGCTTGTGAAGGCACACCAGCCTGCCAGAATTGTTGGGCAGAAGAATTCCTCTTTGCGGTTTGTTACAAATGTCTGGGTTGGTGGGTAAGCGCCAGAGATGGCATGTGTAACTCGGGGTTGAATGGTGCAGTATTTTGTCAGTCTTCCAGTTGCAGTAGTTTAGAGAATGCAAAAACAAAAAATGGAAATGGATAATCGTTTCTGTCTGGAGGTGGTGTCCATTAAGTCAAGGAGACAGCTCTGAAGGGAGTGAATTCAGAAAGCAAATAAATCACCCTGTTCTTAGCTGCCTGCAGCCCAATGGCAATCAGGTGGGCAGATAGCTCAAAGGATTGAGTGGAAGGGAGCACCAGTTTAGGTACCCTCCCCCCCCACACACACACCCCGTGGTGTATTGACCTCACAGCAGAGTGGCCCCCTAAACCATCCTGTAATATCCCCCTGCCCCTTGCATGGCCGGGTTTGGTCCTAAACAAGGGAAAAAGAGCCACTAATCTAGACCAGAAGACCCACGTAACATGGTGTTAGGTTTTTGCTTAAAATACCCTATAGTCCATTGAGCGAGTTCACGCAGACGTTGATGTATGATTGTTTATAGGTTTATTTTCACTGCAAAGCAGATGCAGTTTTATTTGGTTTTGAGTGTTTTATAACCGCCGCTTCATAATTCACAATCATGCGGTCTCAGAAGCCGCTCCACATGAAGTCTGGGAACAAGTTACATTGTGGCGTTTTATGTTTCAGTATCTGGGCAATAAAAATATTTTGACTTATTGACTTTTTTGTTTCTTACTAACTGTTTAGCTTCAGATGTTGTTGAGATTTACAAGCCTCTATGTACTGTGCAGGATACCTAGGGATCCAGTTTTTACAGTGTGCTCTTGAAGATGAGAGGTAGAAAGGCAGAAGGAAGAGAAAATCGAATTCCTATTAGGACTCCTTCCCGAATGTTCACTGAGCCAAGCCAGAAGTCTGACTTGCTGGCTCATCACGACTCCCATCCCCCGTTGTATTGTGGGGTGCTCCGGGAGGCACGTGGTGCCTAGGATGTACTCTCCTACCTGAGTCATATCTACAGCCCCCATCCCCCCACTTTTAACCTTTTTGGCCAGGCAGGGATAGCACCAGGTCTGCAAATTTGAGAAGCGTGTACATTTTCCCTAGCGAGCCACATCCCTAGCCCCCTGCTTACCCCTCCCCCTGAAAACGTTACCTAATTGGATACAGTGTCCTGGTTTTATCTTCCCTCTAAGCCCTTTGGACAACACCTGCTCCATCTCTGAGCACGAAATGTCTCAATGTCTCAATTCTGTGTAGCAGTTTCTCCTGCTCAGTTACCTGCCCTCTAGCCCATCGTTGGCATCGTAAGACCCGAAGTTCCATGGTAACAAATCATCCGGGCACCTCACAGCTCCAAGGAGCAGTTTATTTGATTACTGGACCTTGTGTTTGGACAGGGTTCTGCAAGGAAGCCTCTTTACTGCCTCACCTGGTAACCAGAAGGCTTGAACTGCCTCCCTCAGGGCAGAGAAGGTGCCAGGACTAGGTTTTGCCTGGGGATTTGGTTAGCTCAGGACCTTTCCATGGTACTGTGTGTGTGTTGGGTGGGGGGTTCCAGGGGTCTGCGCCTCAGAGCTCTATCCCCAGCCCACAGACATGCTTCTTGAAGAACAGTGTGGCATATGGCCAACGTGTCATTACCACACCCATTTATTGTTGGGTGAGATAAACTTAAGCCCCCTTACTTGGAGATCAGTTAGAGATCCTCCATCTGAACAGCAAATGGATGTTCCGACCACAATTTTCATTTTATAAGGTCCCAGCAGGACTGGGGGATCTAAGGTACTGTGGATTAGACTCAGCCTTGTCACTTAAACCTTAATCCCTTACCCCCCCCCCACCACCACATTTTTAAGAGACCTAAAAAGTAACATAACAATCATCAGCCCCTTCAGCCAAAATCATCCTCAGTCAGTTCCCTCAGGAAATGCTTGAGGAACTGCTTTTCAAGGTGAGGATGGTGTTTTTGTTTTTCTTTGTTGTGGGCCACACCCAGTGGTGCTGGGGAATCAACCCAAGCCTCCTGCATACAAAGTCTGTTCCCAGCCCCTGGAGCTCCCCATTATCTCTCCCACCCCAGGCCATGGCATATTTTTGCCCCTACCTTGATTGGTTCTTTGGGGGAGATTGAGGTGCTTTGGGGGGAAAAGAGAAAAAAAATAAACTGAATCCAATTGGATGTTTGGGAATTAGCCCTAACACCAGGCCACTAACTATTTTTAGCTCTGTGGTCCCGTGTCTCTTGCTTCATCCTGCAGTTCTGTAGGTAGGAGTCTGTTGACAGATGCTGGCTTCCTCTCTGCAGCTCTAAGCGAGAATCCATTCTCTGCAATTTCCAGCTATTCCTGGCTGCCTGCATTCTTTGGCTCCTGGTCCCTTCACTCTTCACAGCCAGCCACTGAGCATCTTTCTGCTTCGGTCTTCACCTCTCCTTCTCCCGCTCCTCTCTCCAGTTCTTAAGGACACTTGGATGGGTCCTTAATGCCTATCTGTAATGAAAGTCAAATAATTCCTATCAGGTGATTATTGACCTTCATTCTAGCCATCTGCCAGCACACTCCCCTTTGCTATGTAAACTAACATCCAGACAGTCTAGGGATTAGAACTAGGGGTCTTTGGGGAGCACAATTCTGCACACCACACCTCTTAGCCTGTGAGCTTTGTTGATCACCTCTGAACTGTACCCTCCAGTGATTTCCAAACCTCATCCCTGTGTTGATAGATTCTACTTACAGAGGGCTGGGCCATAGAGACCAGGCAGGCCCTTTCCACCGGAAGTTTGCTTCGACCCACTGGTAGCAAAACTCATTTTCTTGTGTCAGCAACTTGCCGTTCATGTTTTTTTTTTATTATTTTAAGTTTTGGGATGACACCTGGCGATGCTCCCCGATACTCCTTGGCTCTGCACTCAGGAATTACTCCAGGTGTTGCGAGTGCCTTACCTGCTGTGCTATCTCTCCAGCCCTGACCACACTCCATTTTTGTCTTCTTATTAGTGCACTTGAGTCAGGATAGAAGCTACTGTTGACTCAGTCTACCGCAAGGGATCTCAAATGGTTGTCTTGCTTTTAAATTTTCCCATAAATAATGACCTTGCTTATTAAGTTATTTTTATTGACTATAACTGACTTTTGACAGGAAAATTGGTCAAGTTAGGCAACTCACTAGTCATTTTAAAGTAACATTCTCCCTGGCGCCACGTGGTCCTCTACAGCCCCTGCATACCACTGGGTAGGGCTCAAAGTCAAATCAGTGTAAATAAGATTCACTATGCTCTTCGTTTCATAGTCTGTTCTGCTGTAACATATGTGCTCCTGAAACACCATGTGGCACAGTGACTTCGGTGCAGGGCACAACACTCAAACGTCTTTGGTGACATATTTAAAATGACAGGAGTATTATAGAAATGCTATAAAATATATGCTTCGTATGTAAGTATGAAGGTATGACATCTTAAACTAGATGGATTCTCCAATAAATAGTATTGGCATTGGTAAACAATAAGTAGTATCGGGATAATAGTACACAGTACTGTCCGAGTTGAAATAAGTCCATTAAGAAGCCTCGGCTTCTGTACTGCTTCTTGGAAGGGCTGTGACTTTCGAGTCCTCGAGGAGGTCAAAGGGGGTGTCTGGAATCTGGGAAGTGGTTTCCCCAGATGCTGGGTAGGTACAACTCGTCCTGGAGGCATGTGTGGACGTGGCATTTGAAGTGTGACTTCCTTCCGCTGGTAGCTGGTCTGTTCTGCCCCCTGCGCAATCCCCTAAGGCTAACAGTTGGAAAAGCAACTGCAAAATTCATGTGGGGCTCAAATTCTTCCTAATCAACTCATCATCGGAACAACTTGACCTTTTCAAACCAAACATCACAGCCGAGTCACTGGTTTCTTCCTCTCTCTATTTTTGGCCACACCTGGCGATGCTCAGGGCTGACTCCTGGCTCTGAGCTTAGGGATCACTCCCGGTGGGGATTGGGGGAACCATATGGGATGCTGGGGGATCGAACCCAGGTCAGTCCGTGCAAGCACCCTACCCGCTGTGCTATCACTCAGGCCCCCCAAGTTTTTGGCTCTGGGGGCAGTGCTGTGGGCATCTCTGCCCTGAGTGGTACTGGTGGTGGTGGCAGGCCCCCTTGCCCGGTCGACTCCCAGGACTGCCTCTAACAGCGCGGCTCAGCCCAACACGCTCTGTTCACAGAACTGGAGCGCCAGTGGATTGTTTTTCTAGAAGTTACTGGAAGACCCCAGCTAAACCAGGAAGCACACACAGAAAGAGTACAGAAAGTGGGAAATGGGGTGCAGAGGCGGGGTGAAGGGATTCCCCGTGGGAAAACAAGCACAGCGCAGGCCATGTTCAAGGCCTCGGCTAGGGCCGGGATTTGGGTGATTGGCCAAGAGTTGAGGTTGCAGGTGCTCTGTGAGCCCAGCGAAGGGAGCCCCCAGTCATGCACAGACCCTGCGCTCCGAGTCTATTGAGTTCACCTGGCCGGTGGCACGCACCAGCTGTCTATGCTTCCAGCTGGGGGTGGATTAGGCACATGCCCTGGACTTTGTTGGGGGAAGATTCTAGAAGAGCGCGCCTGGCTTTCCCCAGACTTGGTCCCTGGGCCACTTTTTCCCCTGCTGACTCGGCTCTGTGTCCTTTCCCTGTACTAGATCACAACCGTGAGTACAACTGCACGCTGAGCCCTGCTTAATCCGGGGCTGGCCTTCTCCTTTTCCTAGCGTGGAGATCGGGGAAAGCGTGAGAGGGGAAGATGTCTACATCATCCAGAGCGGCTGTGGGGAGATCAACGACAACCTCATGGAGCTGCTCATCATGATCAATGCCTGCAAGATCGCGTCCTCCTCCAGGGTGACCGCCGTGATCCCCTGTTTCCCATACGCCAGGCAGGATAAAAAGGATAAGGTAGGTCAGGCGTGTCCGGGGTTTCACTGGCTGCTGGCGGCTAACAGCCACCCTCTGCCCCTCACACCATCACCTCAATATATGTCTCATGCTTGCTTTCTATTTTGATTTTGGTTTGGGGGCCATAACCAGAGGTGCTCAGGGATTACTCCTGGCTCAGTGCTCAGGGTTCACTCCTAGTGGTCCGGGGTGGGGGAACCTTATGGGGTGCTGAGGAGTTGAACCAAACCCAAGTGTCTTTGTAAGGCAAATGCCCTTGTCTCTGTACTCTCACTCTGGCCGTGATATCCATTTTAATGATTGGGTCCAGACCCTTTCACACCTTGGGGCATTTTGCAAAAGTTTGTCTTGGAACCAACCACCCTACTAGTACTTCTTGATTAAGACATGGCCTTACTTTTGTTGGCATTAGAATGCCAACCTTGTCTTTGTGGTGGCATTACTGTGTATCTTCATGGTGCGGAGCAGTACTACACACAGTGGGAAACCGGAAGTGTGGGGAATCGGGGTGGGGTCCCTAGGTCGAGTCCCTCTCTAGCTTGGCAGTGATGCCAGGGCAAAAGCTGGCCAAAGCACGCACTGAGCATCTATGTTGTCTTCCAGCCGCCAGCTAGGAAGTTTAACTGTAACACTGGGCTGAGGATGTGGCCCAGCAGTAGAAGCTGGTGTGTGTGCGGTCCTGGGTCCTATCCCCAGCCTCGCCCCAAAAGAAACCCCCAAACAATCCCATTACCTTCTTAAACTTTCCAGAAGAAGGAAATTATTCGATATTCTTGAATTGTTCCTTTCAAACTACAGTTAGGAGGCTCTGAAAGTTTCTAGAAGGGATGGAAGAAGATTGGTCCTCTGCTTGTGAGAAAAATAAAGGAAGTTGGAGTTGGAGAGGAACCGTCAAGGGGATGGTGTCCTTGGCTAGGGCTGCCCGAGCTCATGGTCACACAAGGTCAGGTTGAGGTGGTGGCGAGGTACCCCTCTCACAGGTCCCCATATGGCCTGCCTCTGAAGGTTGGGGTGAATGTGGGGGTCCTTCTTGGCCTTTTCCAGTCTCCTCTAGTACCCTCCCATCTATCTCTACCTCTGACTGCACCTGGTTTGCCCTGCCCGTCTCTGTGACCTTTCCTCATCAAAGGACAGTCATTGGATTAGAGGGGGTGCGGGGCTCCCTCCCAACCCCCTCCAGAGTCACTGAATATGATCCAGAATAGTAGATGTTCTTTCACGCCTTGCACGAACCCCTCCAGTTTATGAGGTCTGCTGCCATTTCTGATGCTGTGTTTATGAGAAGCTCACCAATAAACCTCTGTGAATCTCCTTCATTTTCTGAGACAACACAGATTCTTTTTTCCTTTCTGGCACTCGCAAGGTAAGGCTCCACTGCTGAGCCGGTCTCTGTTCACAGTCAAGTTCATCAGAGCCTCTTCATAAGAAAAGGACCCGTTGTACATTTTGAGTGTACATCTCAAGGTTCCCCTTGACCTTCTTTATTTCTACATTTTTATTTATTTGCTTTTCGAGGCTATACCCAGTGGAGCTCAGGGCTTTCTCTTGGTTCTGCACTCACTCAGGAACCACTCCTGGCAGGTCTCAAGGGGGCCAGATGAGGTCCGGGGGATCGAACCCGGGTAAGACACATTCAAGGTGAGCTTTTCAGCTGCTGTGCTCTCTCTCCAACCCCTCCCCTCGATTTGAATGCCACCCTCTTCCGACGTAGTTTACACAGCTCCCATGCGGAATATAGCTTTTTCGGTTCATTTCCCACTAAAAAGGATCTGCAGAAGTCCATTCCACACTGGAGATGCGACTTGACTTTTGTAGAGGACACGGCCACTTTCGGCAAAGCAATTTACAATGAAACCAGGTCCTGAAATAATGTCATTTTGCTCAACCTGGCCTGGGGTTGTTTCTTTTTTCTCTTAGATAATTGTTAAAATTGACATTGAGCACAAGCCCATTATTGAGGGGCCTGCTGGCCTCTGATTTATAATCAGGTTCTCTTTTCCTTTCCCATGACTTTTGCATTTCCACCAAGCCATTTACATCATCATATCTTGCTGTTGGTGCTATCTCCCTCCCCACGTGGCCTGATTTCCATGTCGGGATGATCTGTGACCCTAATTCCAGCAATCGAGCTGACATGCTGGCCCCTCGTGCACCTTACATTTGCTGATTGCGTCTTTTGTCAAGATTGCATTTTCAGCCTTTGTTGGTTATATTCATAGTGGGCATAAGTCAGCTTCATCATGACTTCAGAGTTTGTCCTTGACACATGCCCATTGCCTAGCCAGCCTTCAGCCTTCCGACGCCTGTAGAGATCAGCACTGTGTGGAAAAGCTTCCTTCTGACTCTTATTCATCCCTCTGCTTCGTGACACATTTGCCTGAGCTTTTTGGGGGGACCTTTTGGAGCACCTCTTGTCTGCCTTTCCCGTCCTCACCACCTTTTTTGTGCTTTTCCGAGCCCTACCCGATGAATCTCAGGGCTTACTCCTGACTCTCTGCTCAGATATCACTCCTGGTGGAGCTCAGCACCATACGGGATGCTGTGCATCGAACCTGGATCAGACACATACAAGGCGAATGCTTTATTTACCCACTGTACTATCACTACAGGCCCTCCCCTTTCCTTAATCCACTTTGCTGTGTGTCTCTGGAAAAGAACCTGGAAGCTTCCCTGGTTTTTGATCGGATCAGACAGTGCCAGTACTTCTCTGGCTTGCTGCAGGAGAATTGAATCCCTCATGGGTGTCAGCAGAGGGTTCCTGTGTGGGGGGGAAGGTGGATTAAGCCCCTATACCACTGAGAAAGGTGGGGATCCAGGCATGCTGGGCTTCTTGCCTCTTGCTGCCATAATAAAGTGCTGCAGCATCAGATGGGGTCTTAGAGCCATAAGCTGGCTCCTTTTGTTTTGGTTTGTTTTTTTTGTTTGTTTTTTGCTTTTTGGGTCACAACCGATGATGCTCAGGGGTTACTCCTGGCTTTGCACTCATGAATCACTCCTGGCGATGCTCGGGGGACCATATGGGATGCTGGGAATCGAACCCGGGTCAGCCGTGTGCAAGGCAAACACCCTATCTGCTGTGCTATTGCTCCAGCCCCAGCTGGCTCCTTTTGAACTTTTAGCAGTGTAGCCCCTTCCAGATTTGGGGGGCCCTGTCACTCCCACCTCAGCTTCCATCCTCACCTGTTTCTGTTGATTGCTTCTGGGCTCCCTCTTTAAGTACCTAGGTTTAAGTACTTGGGTGATTGGGTGACTGCATATAACCCCTCCCCCCCACCCCCTGCCAAATCTCAGAATCCTTGCTGTAGGGCTGGGGAGATAGGACAGTAGGGAAGGTACATGTCTTGCATATGGTCACATGTGGCCTCCTCCTCCTCCTATTTCCATCCACTTCCGCTGCACCCCCCACCCCCGCCCGCAGTACCACTCGTTGCAGCTCAGCTCTGCTCGGCCATACACAGACTCACAGAATCCTTGTTTTAATCACATCTGCAGATACTTTCCAAAATCAACTAGTGATTGAGGCTTTATGGACCATCATTTTGTCACTGTAAGCCAGGCCCCAGGACACCCACTCTTGCTCCCGGCATGTCTGCCCTATGGCCATCCATTCACACATCTGCAGCAGTTTTTCCCAAAGTGGCTGTCCCCAGTCTGTGGGGAAGCCTTCAGCCTTCTGTGCACTTGCAGGCTCTTAGTGTTGCTTTGTGAAAGAAGGTGGGTTTTTTTTTACCCTGAAAGGGCAGTAAGTGGGGCGAATCATTTTGGGGCCCTCTGCTCTGCAGCCTTGGTACTCACCCAGCAGGTGGCTGAACATCCGGCAGAAGCATCAGCACATGTTTGCATCAGTAGTGTGTCACAGGGCCCTGCTCTGCCTGTGAGGTCGGCCTTATGCCTTTTTCAGTGGCTGTTCCTGATCTGACTATTCACTTCCTTCCTGAGAGCAAATGGAAACATCCAGCAAGGGTGCAGGGGATGAAGGAAACCCTTGGGGGACTTGGTGTGATTCTTGTGGCCCCACTCTGCCCACAACATGCAGGAGTGGGGGCCGGTTGTCCAGGTGAATATCTGACCACAGCAAGAAGCTACGAGCTACGCTCTGGGCTCAAAGAATCCGCCTTGACCCCAGGAGGAAACCTTGCAAACACCTCAGCCTTACTTTGTCTTTTTTTCCTTCTCCTCAAGGATGGTGTTGCCTCTGACAGCCCAGACACAATCTACTTTAAGTTTCCCACAAAGAAGCCCCGAAAGCTAGAGCCTTCTCACCATATTCAGAGATTGTTGCATTAGTTCTTGCTTGGGGGTTGATACCCAGTGGAGTGGTATTCAGGGGCTGCTCCCAGCTATGTGCTCAGGGATTGGTCCCCCAGAGGTGCTTGGGAGCCCATATGGGCTTGGGCATCGAGCTCTGCACCTCTTCCAGCTAAGCATGGGCACTGGCCCTTGGGGGCATTTCCCAGCTCCTGTTGCTTTTTGGTTTTGTTTTGAGCCCCAGCAGTGCATGCAGTTGACTCCTGACTCTGTGCTTGGGGATCACTCCTGGTAAGGCTCAGGGACTCTGAAATACATGTTTATGTATGAAAGACTTTGGATACATGTTTTCATTCTCTTATGAAATCTGTGTCTCTATTTTTCAGAGCCGTGCTCCAATTTCTGCAAAGCTCGTGGCCAATATGCTGTCCGTGGCTGGGGCAGATCATATCATCACCATGGACCTGCATGCCTCCCAGATTCAGGTGTGATAGCCGTTCATTACCATGTGTGCTGTGCTCTGTGCTCTGTGCTCTGTGTGTGTGTGTGTGTGTGTGTGTGCGCGCGCGCGTGCACGCGTGCACACACACACGGGTCTCAGAACGCATCCATGTGTTCTATCATTCGGCCTCATCCCTACCCCTTCTTCTTTGTCTTTGGTTTTGACCAGGACCTTAATGCATCCTAATTCTGTTAGGCTGAATGATTTTCCAGAGAGAGCAAGTTACTTCTGTTTTTGAGTGCGTATATGGCTTCTTGTCCATGCTGAACTTGGAACTCAAATTTGATGTCGCCTTGTTTTGGAAGTGGGGAACTTCTGTTGCATCCAAATTTTGGGAAAAGGGTAGGAAATTGTCCCGCACCTGAAAGTTGGTGCCTTCGTCTGTAGAACAGGCCAAATTATACTGGGATAGGAAATGAAGGTGACATCCTCACGTGCTCAAGCAAACCTTCTCCCCCACTGCCCTGCTCTTGTGAGTTCTCAGAGTATAGGCACTTGTGACAGGGGAGAGTGTCTCCTCAAACACACTGCGTTGGATTGAGACACTCTGGACAGATGTAAAGTCTCTTAAAACTGAGGAAATTCATGCAAAGTGCTACTTTGGAACCCTCCACCCCGGTGTTATTGTGGGATGAGTGAATGTGACTCCATGTCACCCTGTCTTGTCACTTAGGGCTTCTTCGACATCCCCGTGGACAATCTGTACGCTGAGCCCGCGGTCTTACAGTGGATTCGGGAAAACATCTCTGAGTGGAGGAACTGTATCATCGTTTCCCCTGATGCCGGGGGAGCCAAAAGGTGGGTTTGTCCTCGCTATTGCTGTGAACCCAAATCCCCCCAAAGGCAGCAAGTTCAGGGAGATTGCACAGGCCTGGGCTTTGCTGCTCTTGCTGCGCTCGTGCAAGAAACAAATTGGGTTTCCACAGCAACCGGAGCTCATGTGAGAGGGTCCCATTTTTCCTGATTGTGAGAGTGCCGAGCCTGATTGGAAAGCAGGGCTCTTAATGAAGAGCGCAGTGGCCCGAGTCCTCACTACTCAACTCTGGGATGAAAGCGCCCCCAGAGAACAAAAATCTTCCCCCAAGAAATCAGCATATAGAGAAGCCAAGAAAGAAAGGAAAATATGGGTGCCGGGAGCGTCCCCCATACTAGGGGGATGGGGTTCTAAGGCCCATAGGGGGCTTCAGCGTTTGCTTCAGGAGCCCCTGGGTGAGCCTCTCTACCATGGGTCTTGGAACACAGAGAGAAAATCAAACTGAGAAATGAGAAATGAAACTGAGAGCCTGGGCCCTTGGCAGATGTGGGGTGGGGGCTGTGTCCAGGTGGCGCGGGAAGCCCCAGGCTGAGTAACTGCACATAAAGGGATCCCAGGCAGCACAGAGGGGGACTTTGCACAAGTGCAGCTGCTGGGCAAACACTCCCCACAAGCCTGCCTGAGGGTCCCAGGGTAGAGATCTTTAGTGGGCATGGTGTCGCCCCAACTAGGTCTGCCGGTCACAGCCAGCAGCGACACCGTGGACCCTGAAACAGCTGCTGAGCCACAGAAGAAGTACATTCGAGAGAAACGGGCAGGGTACCTTAGGTCAGGCCTGTTCACTGACTGGCTGAAGGAGAAAGGAAGTAGCTGTGCATCCTCAGGGTTTGGCTGGGACCCCGGGGCCAGGCATCCCCATTTATTCCAGAGAGCTGAGGATCGCAGATGACAGAGAAGGGGCAGAGTGATCGCTGAAGTGACTTGGTGGACTAGGCTGGGTGACTCAAAGGCTGCTTGTTGAACTTTGTAGCTGCATCTTGGGAAGACAGTACGGCCTTGTGTGTAGCTGGACGCTTGCTTGATCCCAGGCATCACACATGGTCCCCCAAGCATCACCAGGGATCACTCCTGAGCACAGAGCCAGGAATAGCTACTGAGCATCACTGGGTGTGGTCCAAAACCCCTCCAACAGCCCGCACAAAGAACTTTGCAGCAGCTATCTTGGAGTGACACAGATTCCCATCAAGCTTGCGGATGTCTGAAGTCGAACTCCCATCCCTCAGGTGGTTCCTGCATCCACCTGTGACTCAGTTGCATCTCCAGAAAACTCCCATCCCTCAGTTGGTTCTCCAGAATCGAACTTGGAAGCCTAGGTGTAGTGGGGCACGGAAGACTGGCTTCTCCCAGGGACCCGCAGTGCTGTGGGAATGGCCTGTTTTTGTGGCTCAGTCCTCTGAGAAAGTGATTCAGTTACCTTTCCCTCAGCCAGGAGAGTCAGATTTTCAGGATACACATTCTTTGTTTTGCCCCTCCGTTTGCCCAAAGTTGCTGCCACACATCATAGCCTGAGTGGAGTAAGCCACTTCTCATTGGGAGGGCATGTGGGGTGACTTTGGGGAGACAGAACGCCACCCAGGCTAAGCTACAGACAAAGGGGAACATGTTACCTGAAAGAACAGCCTTGCAGGTAAAACAGAATTATCACCACAAGAGGCCACTCTTGGATAGTGTTTGAAGCTGGTGTGGGTTGACTTGAGCTCAGACAAAGTACCCCTGGGGGAAAGGTCTGGCCAGGGTTGAAACAGTTCTTATTGATGAGAATCCCAAGGAAACACAGTAACTCACTCAGCATTTGAAAGCGGAAGCTGGGCTCTCTCCCTCCCCTCGTGCCCCTTAGGCAGTCATAAATTGGGCCGTATAGAAAACTTCTCGTCCGGGATCTGGATTTTATAGTCTCTGAGTCTTGGCCAATGATGGGATTACACGGCGCCAGGGGGCCAGGTGGTGGGTGTGACCCCCGCCTACTGGAATTTGGAGGATCTGGGTGGAAGATGCCAGACTCCAATTCGAGTAGGCTTGGAGGTCTCGGCCCCGGAACCCGCGTGGCTTTGTCCCTCTGCCAGTACCTTCATGTGTGCGGAGAGTGGTCTCCCCTCCCTTGGAGGGGAGCGGGTCGAGCTTTCCTCCCCACCCTGACCGGGGCTCTGGCAGCCGAAGACCTCCAGGACCAGCCACCGCCATGCTGAGACCACTCTTATCAGAGATCTTATCAGAACTTTTCTTTATGACATCTTATTATCTCATTCCTACTTTGGACAAACTTGCAGGCTATCCACAGGGCAGAGTCTGGCAAACTCCCCATGGCGTACCCAATATGCCAAATACCAGTAACAATGATGGGTCTCATTCTCCTAAAGAGCCGTGAATATAATCTCAGGGCTAGGATGAAAGAGACGTTACTGGGGCCTGCTCCAGGCAATCGACGATTAACAGGATGATGAAATGAAAATGAAATAGAAAACTTGGAAGTACAAAGGAGAAAATCCCTTTTGGTTTTTTTTTGTTTGTTTTTCTTTTCTAACCAGTGCTCTCATTCTGTTTGTTTGTTTGTTTGTTTGGTTTTGGGTCACACCTGGCATTGCACAGGGGTTACTCCTGGCTCATGCACTCAGGAATTCCTCCTAGTGGTGCTCAGGGGGGACCATATGGGATGCTGGGAATCGAACCCAGGTCAGCCTCATCTTATGTTATTTTTGTTCCACTTCCTTCTAGCAAAGGTTTCTGCATGAGGCGTTGATTGGTTTAGTGGTACTTGTGACCTCTTATCACACATAGCCTGGCTGGCTGTTGCAGCTGCCTGGGGAGAGGGCATGGGTCAGGGACTGAGAGCCTGGCCACATTTCTCCCAGGACTGCTGGGGATCACCAGGCAGGCCTAGCATTCTCCTGACACCTCATCTTGTGTCGGTTCCGCCATCCCTCACGCATGCTTGAAAGAACGCGCTGATTTGACAATGGGCCGCCTTGCCCCGTGTCCCTTTGTCTCTGTACAGGGTGACATCAATTGCAGACAGGCTGAACGTGGAGTTTGCCTTGATCCACAAGGAGAGGAAGAAGGCCAATGAGGTGGACCGGATGGTTCTGGTGGGCGATGTCAAGGACCGCGTGGCCATCCTCGTGGATGACATGGCTGACACGTGTGGTACCATCTGTCACGCTGCTGACAAGTACGAGGGAAACTTAGGGATGGCCGGGAGTGGGGAGGGGAGAATCAGGCCTGCAGGCTGGCATCGTATAACCCACAGATACCATGAAACATACCCAGATGCGGGAAGGACAAAGGAAGAAGACAGAACCATGGGCATCGACCACTGCCCTAAGGGTGGCGTCAGGCTGTGGAGGGCTGTTGGTGCTGGCTTGTGGCAGGGTGGTATACACGGATGTGATCTCGGTTTTTAAAAAAGAAATTAAAACTTGGGCCTAGGGTGGGGGAGGTGACCCAAAGGGCTACATTTCAGGCTTCGCATGCAGAAGCTGCAGGTTGGGCCCCCAACAACACATGGCTCCCTGAGCACTAAGCTGTAAGTAGTCTCTGAACACCAACAAGTATGGCCTGGTAGCACTGCACCTTAGCACTGTCCTCCTGTTTATCGATTTGCTCGAGCGGGCACCAGTAACGTCTCCATTGTGAGACTTGTTACTGTTTTTTGGCATATCGAATACGCCACAGGGAGCTTACCAGGCTCTGCCGTGCGGGTGGAATACTCTCGGTAGCTTGCTGGGCTCTCTGAGAAGGATGGAGGAATTGAACCTGGGTCTGCCACATGCAAGGCAAACACCTTACCTGCTGTGTTATCGCTCCAGCCCATGGCCTGGTAATGAGAAGAGAACATTTATTTCATTTAGGGAGAGAGAGAGAGAGAGAGAGAGAGAGAGAGAGAGAGAGAGAGAGAGAGAGAGAGAGAGAGAGAGAGAATGTGTGTATGTGTGTGTGTGTACAGGGCTTCAGGTGCTGACCTTGCAGGCAGCAGACTCTGGCTAAAACCCTGGCACTGCATGGTCCTCTGAGCACAGAGCTACCCCCAACACTGTCGGGGTGATGCCCCCTACCCCCCCACGGCACACTCAATTTAACTGTAAAAAAATGCCTGTTTCCAAATACTTGGCTGATGCTACTTCAGACGGAAGGATTCTAGGCTCATTCCTCTCTGTCTTGATCTAAAGATGACTTCGTGGGCCTTCGTGGCCCGCTTTCACGTTCAGCATGGAGCTTTCTGTGTTTTTAAGGGCCAGGAGAAGGGCTTCCTTTGCAAGAAGCTCAGGCGGAGAGAGCAGTGGCAGGTCCCCATGACCCCATCCGCAGCAGGCAGCTTCTCAAGAGGCCTCTCCACCAACTGACCCCATCTGCAGGTCACAGCAAGTTGCAAAGACTGTACGGCCAAGATGTCTGATGTTACCAAATAACGTGCTGTGTCAAGATGCTTTGCCAGCAGCTGGAGTGATTGCACAGTGCGTAGGGTGTTCTCCTTGCATGCGGCCGACCCGGGTTCGATTCCCAGCATCCCATATGGTCCCCCGAGCACCGCCAGAAGGAATTCCTGAGTGCAGAGTCAGGAATAAACCCTGAGCATCGCCGGGTGTGATCCAAAAAAGCAAAAAAAAAATGTTTTGCGGTTGCACTGCATTTCAGCCAGTTCTCAAGAGCAGCAATGCTGGTGACTGGGTAGCAGGTTGACCCTTGTCTGGAGGCATTGGTCATTGGGGAGAATCCAAAGATGCTTCAACCACAAAGAACTAGAGAATTAGCCTCACCCAGGAGCCACCTGGCCGTCCGGGATATTCCAAGGAGGCTAGAAGTGAAAATGCAAAAATCACGGTCTGGAGAGATAGGAAAGCAGGTAGGGCAGCTCCCTTGAATGTAGCCCACCTGAGTTCAGTCCTTTGTACCACTTATGGTCCCCTGAGCCCTGCCAAGAGTCATCCCTGAGCAGCACTGGGTGTGGTCAGAAAAAAAAGCAAAGAACTGGAGGCCATGTATGGGTCAACTGGTAGGATTGGGGGGCCACAGAAAGGAAGAAAGGCCATGGTGGGAGAAAGGATGAGAAAGAACCTGAGAAGATCCTCGTGTCCCATGGACTAGCACAGTTGGTTCCGTGCTCTTTTCTGGAAGATTCTTTTTTTTTTTTTGCTCTAAGGTTTTTCTATTTTTTTTTTTTGCTGTTTTTTTTCCTTTTTCTTGCTGCTTTTCCCCCTCCTTTTCAGTGCCAGATGTGCCTTTTTTTCATTCTCCTTTGTTTTGTTTTTGGCTGGGGTCTGAACCTGACTCTTAGCGTCTACTCCTAACTCAGTGCTCGAGGCTCACTCCCAGCAGCGGTAGGGCTCAAACCTAGACCTGCATGTGCTCACATGTTGAGCCGTCACTTTCTCCAGCCCCTATTCTCTGCTTTTATTTTATTTTATTGGTTGCTTTTTGGGTCATACCCAGCAATGCTCAGGAGTTACTCCTGGCTCATACACTCAGGAATTACTCCTGGTGGTGCTTAGGAGACCATGTGGGATGCTTAGAATCGAACCCGGGTCAGCCACATTCAAGGCAAATGCCCTACCCGCTGAACTGTCACTCTAGCCCCACTCTCTGCTTTTAAACTCACACCAGAGAAGACTGTTTGGAGACTCTCCATGTACACGTTGTCTTTTTCATGTTGTTTCACAGGCTGCTCTCGGCCGGAGCCACCAAAGTCTATGCGATCCTTACCCACGGGATCTTCTCGGGGCCGGCGATCTCCAGAATCAACAATGCCGCCTTTGAGGCCGTGGTGGTTACCAACACAATTCCACAGGAGGACAAGATGAAACATTGCACCAAGATTCAGGTAGAGTCTAGAACTGCAGGCAGAACCAAGCTGGGAGACTCCTCCCGAGGCCCCCTGAATGGGCCTGCTCGAGAAGGCAGATGTGGGGCCCGTTTGCAGCTTTTCATTAAGAGAGGGGAGGATTCCCATTTGAGCTCTGAGAATAGCTGCATCGCCAGTAGTGCAGGTTAGGAAATACCGAGTGAAGGAAACCACACCAAGACATAGAAAGCAGCTTGGTTCAACAGACACAGAATTTGGGGGCTGGAGCAATAGCACAGCAGGTAGGGTGTTTGCGTTGCACATGGCCAACCTGGGTTCGATTCCCAGCATTCCATATGGTCCCCTGAGCACCACCAGGAGTGATTTCTGAGTGCAAAGCCTGGAGTAACCCCTGAGCATTGCCCGAATGTGATTCAAAAAGCAAAAGAGATAGAGAAAGAGAGAGAGAGAATTATTATAGGGTACAGCAAGCCCACCCCTAGGTATCTAGCATCTGCCAGCCCCCAAATTGGAGACCATCTCCAGTAAAAATGTTGTACGGGGATAGTCATAGTTGACCTACTCATAAAGGTGAAAGGTAGAAACCCTGGGAGCTGAAGCAGTAGCACAGTGGGTAGGGCGTTTGCCTTGCACGCAGCCGACCCAGGTTCGATTCCCAGCATCCCATATGGTGCCCCGAGCACCGCCAGGAGTGATTCCGGAGTGTAAAGCCAGGAGTAACCCCTGAGCATCGCCAGGTGTGACCCCCCCCAAAAAAAGAAAGAAAGAAAGGTAAAAACCAGCAAACTAGCTTTTGTTGATGGATGAATGGGTAAGCCAGATCCTTTAGCATTCCACCTAAAGAGAAGAGTTTGGACCCAGGTGAAAAGCAGGTCAACTCAAAAGACACAGTTGCTGATCCACTGCCCCGAGGAACCCTTTACGTCCAGTCAGAGGGCCAGCAGAACATAGGGGGCTGAAGTATGATATGATGAGATTTCCCATTTTGGCTTTCCCCATTTCTGTTTAGGTCATTGACATTTCGATGATCTTGGCTGAAGCCATCCGGAGGACCCACAATGGAGAATCGGTATCTTACCTGTTCAGCCACGTCCCACTGTAGGCCCAGGACGGGAGGCGGAACCAGCCAACCCCTGGGCTGCTCTGATTCTGTAGCTTTAGGACTCGCCACTGTAGGATAACTGCGATCATTTAGCGATCCATTGTTTCCCCTTTCTGAAGCCCAAGACCATTGTTTTCCAGCTTGGGGGTGGGCAGCGGTGGTTTGGTGGTTTAATCTTTCAGGAACTGTCTTAAATGAGAAAAGTTTCTGTCATCTTGAGTTGTTCTATTCGGTGAACTTTTTTTTTTTTTCGTTCTGTCAGTACTTCGAGGCCACACCTCCCAAGTATATGATTCATAGATTCTATAAATTGGGGTTGCCAAAGGTGACTTCAGATGAGAGCTTTCTGTGTAAATATAATAATAATGCCTATGGACATTTGGGTGAGACCCTATATACAGTCAGCCCTGCACTTCTCAGTGAAGCTTAGGAAATTAATATTGTGAAGCGTGGAGTGTTATTTTAATAACTGGCTTTCCAGTAAACCATTTTGGTTATTGTACTTCATTCATACCAAATTTCATGTCGCTTCAGATGGCCACTGACACCTTGATATTTTGGTATTATATTTTATGACCACTTCCGAAAACACGTTTTAACTGAGCTTGAAATGTCATGTTTAAAAGTTCCCAATTGGGGCTGGAGCGATAGCACAGCGGGTAGGACGTTTGCCTTGCACGCAGCCAGCCCAGGTTCGATTCCCAGGATCCCATATGGTCCCCTGAGCACCGCCAGGAGTAATTCCTGAGTGCAGAACCAGGAGTAACCCCTGAGCATTGCCAGGTGTGACCCAAAAAGCAAAAAAAAAAAGTTCCCAAATTATTCAGCAAAAGATCTTCATGAAATCATTTTGTGAAGGCACGTCCACACACGCGGCCACATTGCCGGTCTCCTACCCATTTCAGGAGACAAGTATTCTGGCTTGTCATCTTCACCAGGGTTCCAGCTTTTACTCCACATTTTCCCAAGTAACGTCATTTCCTTAGGTTTGTTCCAAAGTCAATATTCCCCAGATCCCCTCAGGTTTGCTAGTCTGATCTTTATTTGGCTTTTGACATAAAGAAAAAGGTGAGTTTTGGTAAGGACCACGGATCTGTATTTTGTTAGTTTTGGGTTAATGTTCTTTGTAATCAAGGGCAACTCATCTAGACTTAATCAGAGAGAGTAACTCATCTAGACTTGGGTTGCTCAAGCTCTTCCTGACTGTGGCCCCCTTCAGACCTCGTGTACTTCCTGTGTTCCCCCACAAGTGATCCTTTATTCTCATGCTGTGACCCCTGCCATTTATGTGGCTTTTACCTGTACCCACCCCCCTTGGACTATTCATGGGATGCATAGGACACTGTGTGACCCCTAGTTGGGAAACTTTGACCTAAGACAAGTTCTAATTTTAACTAAGGCTGTTACATGAAAACTGGGTTAAAAGATGTATAGAAGGGCTGGAACGATAGTACAGTGGGTAAGGCGCTTTTCCTTGCACACGGCCTACTTGGGTTTGATCTCTGGCACCCTGTATGGTCCCTTGGGCCCGCCACCAGTGATTCCTGAGTGCAGAGCCAAGAGTAAGCCCTGAGCACTGCTGAGGTTTTGGCCCAAACCCAAAACAAACAAACAGCAAAAGATCTATGGAAAATAAGTATAAATAACCAAGCTTGAGATACTCTGTAAGGCCACATAAGTGTCCGCTAGATGGCCCTGTCCAACATCCTCTGAATCTGGCCAAAGGCATCATCAAGTCTATGGATTTTATTCTATGAATATTTGGTGGACAAGTAAATTCTTCGGTTCCCAGCAAATCTGGTGGCATACACAAAGCCCAGGAGTAAGAAACCACCATCTCTCTTCTGCTGAATCTTCAACTGTAACTTTGCTGATCAGGTGCAAAATCAAATCCATTTAAGGCATTACCAGACTTGGAATAACAACCTTTAAGGTTGCAAGCTTCACTGGGGACAGGTTGGAGTGAAGTAAAAAAGTGTCAATTGTTGCAGAAACTAGCAGTTTGCTGTACCTTGAAAAGGCTCTTGAGGGAAAAAATGATGCTGTAAGTCTGATAAAGTCAGCCTTGCAATACAAATAGACTCTATCAAGGAAGAGTTGACTTGTAATCTAGAAAGACTCTGTTTAGATGCTCTGTGATTTTATTTTTGAAACGTGATATCTGTATTTCTTGGAATTTTGATGCTTAAAGAAATGCAAGTATAGTTAAGAATATGCATATGTAGACTGCTTGGCATGCAAATGTGGACATGTGAACATGACTAAACCAGTTGATTTGTACTCAATTAAGATTTAACAGTCTAGGCATAGACATAGTTGTAAATTAATCTTGAAGTAAAGATTATGATATTAATATACCAAAGTTCAGCCTCTAACTTAAATTTTATCAGTTAACTAAGAGATAAGCATGTTAGATGTGAACGTCAGCTAGATTCACGAACAGCTCATTTACGTTGCTTGTCTTGGTTTTGAAAACATGATTTTAATATCTTCCAACACTGTACTAAGACGTTTTAATAAAATCATACTACTTTCAATATTTGTATTGTGTTACTGAGTACTGTGTTTTGATGGAGTCCCTGAAATTGTTTGCTACTTCACAGTTATAACCCCAGATGCCAATTACAGAAAACAAATTAAACCTTGCGCAAAATTTTCCAACCCGGTCAATAATGTTCAGTGACCAGAGATTAGAGCAGCACTGTAGCACTGTCCTACCATTGTTCATTGATTTGCTCAAGTGGGCACCAGTAACGTCTCTTATTGTGAGACTTGTTGTAACTGTTTTTGGCATATTGGATACGTCACGGGGAGCTTACCAGGCTCTGCCATGCGGGTGAGATACTCTTTGTAGCTTGTTAGGCTCTCTGAGAGGGATGGAGGCATCGAACCTGGGTTGGCCGCATGCAAGGCAAATGCCCTACCCGCTGTGCTCTTGCTCCAGCAGATGAAAGTTAACTGTAGGTGGTAAAGAAGTTTGTCGGGTGCGTTGGTTTCAGAAATATCAAAGTCTGTTTAAAGTCCCAGAGTGTAACCAGGAGAGAATACTCGAATACAGAGGAAAAAGAGAGATAGTAAGGCCCAAAAGACTGAAAACCGCCCTCAACATTTTTTTTTTCTTTTTTTGCTTTTTGGGTTACACCTGGCAATGCGCAGGGATTTCTCCTGGCTCTGAATTCAGGCATTCAAGAATTACTCCTGGCAGTGCTCAGAGGACCATAAGGGATGCTGGGAATCGAACCTGGGTCAGCCGCTTGCAAGGCAAATGCCCTCCCCGCTCTGCTATCGCTCCAGCCCATGCCGTTAGCATTTCACCTGCACTATCCACTTCACAGTTCTGCCCACTGCTTCAAAGGGGTTTCAAACGTCACATACCACTGAACTCGACACACTGCCCACACTTGGATGCTGTCTATTCCGATGACTAAAAAGTTCCCAAACACCATGCATTTTATCCTTCTAGATAGGTACTTGGAACCAAGATTGTCCACTTATTTCTGAGCTTCCTTCTAACACAGAAAAGACATTCTCTAGTAGTTTAAAGAAAGACCTACCAAGCAAACATTGAAATATCTGTGGAGGACCATATCTAAGCAAGGCGTTGTGTGAGGATAGGGTGGAGGGCTGTCTAATAGGGTGAGAGCCAGAGTTTCTCCAAGATGCCCACAACCAAGCTCCCCTTACCCATAGACAGACTTTGGTTTCTTTTCTGTTGTTGGTTTTTTTTTTTTTTGTGAGGGGCACATCCAGCATACTCGGGGCTTACTTTGTGCTTAGGGATCCATCCAGGCTGGGCTTGGGAGACTGGATGTGGTATAGGGGTTGAATTTCAGGTGGGTCCATGTGAGGCACTGTACTGCCTATCTGTATTTTTTTCCCTTTTTTGCTGACAGGAACCCAGGATCTCACATAGAAAGCCTGCGCCCTACCACTGAGCTGGAACCTCAAGTTTTTTTTTTTTTTTAGTTAAAAATGCTTTATTGATATATATATATATTTTTTGGCCTTTTGGGTCACACCTGGCGATGCACAGGGGTTACTCCTGGCCCTGCACTCAGGAATTACTTCTGGCGGTGCTCAGGGGACCATATGAGACGCTGGGAATCGAACCTGGGTCGGCCGTGTGCAAGGCAAACACCCTACCTGCTGTGCCATCACTCCAGCCCCACTTTATTGATACTTTTTAAAAAAAAGGGATTGCATGCGAATATCTTACAAGAAACCCTGGGGCCAGAGATATGGTCCAAGGTGCTTAGTTTGCATGTTCTCAAACCAGGTTCAACCCTCGGCAACTGTATATGGTTTCCTGAGCATTTCCAGGAGTGACCCCTGATCTCAGAGCCAAGTGTAGCCCCTGACCACCATAGGGTGTGGCCTGAAACCCCTCCCCTTTTAGAACCAACCCCCCACCCCGCCCCATCATCTGGGTTCCCAGAGATAGTTCATGCATATGTTAATAGTTCTACGGGGAATGCATTTATTTATCTATATTCTTAGCTTGCATGCTTTGCATGCTTTTAGATAATGGTCCTCTTTATCTAAAGGCTCACTTGCCTTCTTTGCTTCACTTGTTTACAGATTTCTCTGAATTCATATCCTTGGCTTCAGTTCACACCTGTATTTTGTTGTACAGCCTTTCACCACATTTAAATGGATCACAGTTGCATCCATCTGTCCAAGCACTTTGGCTTGGTTCCCAGTTCTGTTGCCATGGGCATGGTTAGCCCTGCCCCTTTGTACTACTCATAAAGGCTGTTCTTAACCGTTGCGGCGTGAAAGGGACGTTTCCTAGACCCGAATAACACCTTCATCCAGCCTTCTCTGTGTGCAGCAGCTGGACAGCAGCCTGAATCCCAGGGCTTGGCTCCTTGCTTTGTGGCCTCAGTCCCCAGGACAGCACCCGGAGAGCCAGGTGTTGAGAAGCGCTTGCTTCCTATTTGCAGTTCCCTCTCACCTGGTGCTAGGAGCTAGGTGCTGCACACCGGCTCCTGCTGAGTAACCTGTTCCACAGCTGGAGGAACAGCACAGAGAGGTGAAGATGCTGGCCTGGGCTCCCAGCTCCTAATGAGAAGCTGGGATCGAAGCACGCCTTTGGCCCCAGAGTACTGCGAGCTGGACACAGGCTTTTTCCTTTGTTTTCTCTAAAGCAGTTTGGAAAGTGGATCGCACTCTGGAATCGCATGAATAGATTTAAATGCAGGAGCCTTCAAAAGACAAATAATGAAATAAAAATGGTCAAAAAGGAAAAGAAAATACAGGAGCCTGGCTCCCAGCCCTCTGATGTCACTCTGATGTCATCGCCATGGGCCTGGCCCCAACCGTTACTCAGAATGTACAGAAACGTTATGCAGAACGTTGGGAAGCAGCGTCAGCGCTCTCCAGCTTGCGCAGAGCACAGGTTCTTTCAAGCTGCCACCAGCTCTTGGCTCAGTTAACCAGACCTTGTTCCGTGTGACCCCCCGCCCCACTTTCCCTATCTCTCTTAGCAGACAAGCGTGCAAAAAAAGCCAACGGTAGAAAACAAGATAAGGGGCCCCGGGTGACTGGGACGCTGAGTGCTCCCCCGGGATGCACTGAAAGCTTTCACAGAGGGTGCTGGTCCCCCAGAGGGCAATGACTGCTCAGGGCTTTCAAGTGTGCCCTTTGAACCTTCTGCAAAACAGGAGCTCCTTGCACCAAATAAAGAGTGTTGGGAGGATCCTCCCAGAATGGGAGACGCATGCTGAAAGTAGACTATAGACTGAGCATGATTGCCACTCAATGCCTCTTTTGCAAACCACAACACCCAAAAGGAGAGAGAGAACAAAAGAGAGTGCCCTGCCACAGAGGCAGGGTGGGATGGGGGATGGGGGAATGGGGGGTGGGAGGGATACTGGGATCCGTGGTGGTGAAAAATGGGCACTGGTGGAGGGATGGGTATTTGATCATTGTATAATTGAAACCCAAGCACAAAAATTTGTAAGTCTACAACTGTACCTCATGGTGTTTCACTAATAAAAATTAAAAAAAAAAACAAAACAGGAGCTCCTTGTGGCCCACAGCTGTGTTTACGCCAGGGTGGGCTCCAGGGGACCAGGCCTGCTTTGCTGCCCTCCAGACCCAGGCAGGGGGAACAGCCTAGACCAATAGGGGCCTGCTGAGCCCCCAAGCTGAGCCCCTGCACCTTTGTGGAATCACTGGGACCGTCTCTGGGACCCGGATGCCCCCAAAGAACTACACGCACATTGCAGGGGAAAATTTATACATCACCCAGACTCCAGCTGACAGGAGCCCACCCAGAAGCCCAACGCCACCCCACCACCCCCAGCACAGGGTGTAGGATGGGGCGGGGCACCCTCGTGAGCAGGTCAGCGGAAGGGAAGGTCTGAGTCAGCAGCAGAGAGCTCATGTCGGACTGGCACTGACGAGACAGGGAGGGCATCCTCGCTCGCCCCTACCCGAGGCCTGCGGCACGCAGGGCGCCGTGCTGATGCCTCTAAGGACCCACAGCTGTGAGCGCTCCGTGAGCGCCTGCGCCAGCGATGCAGGAGGAGGAGGAGGAGGAGGAGGAGGAGGACCACCACGGTGAAGGTGACTTGGAAGGTGACGATGAAGGTGCCAGGGAGGCGGGAGGAAGGGACATGCCCTCCGGTCGCCCGTGCTCAGGTGCGCCCGTGTCTCGGACTGAAACCCACAGGCCGGCCGTGGCCCACGACCCACAGGCCACGCTGTTGGGGTTTCAGGTTGCGAACTCTGTGCCACGCGGCCTTTCCTCGGGCTGAGACTCGGGTGAGTCCATCAGGGCCTTCGGACAGCGGCGCAGAGCGTCGCCCGTGTCTCTCCAGCCGGGCTCTGCACGGCGTCAGAGCGGAGGCCACGAGGCCGCGCCGGCTCTGCGGGTCCTGCGGGTGCGGGTGTGTGTCGGCTTCAGCTCTGCGTGGTCACGCGTGTCCCCAACGGGGTGCCAGCGTGGGGCGTTGGGCTCCAGCGCGCAGGGCCCATCCCGGCTCAGGGTCCCGGTGGCGGCGGCAGCTGCCTAGGTCGGGGAGCAGAGAGCAGAGGCGCCCTCGGGTGCTCAGGGACGGGCCGCGCGGGAGGGCAGCGCCCGCCGCTGTCCTTGGCCCCGGGGCCGCCCGGACCGTTTCCCAGGAGCCCGGGCAGCGGCACACGCGTGGGCCTGGGCTCAGAGGGTCGCGGGTTGTGTCCCTGCCCTCTGCGAGGCTCAGCCCGGGGTCCCGAGAGGCGCTGTCCCCGCACAGAGCGTCCAGAACGCGGGGAGAGGCTGGCAGCGCCCTGGGGTGCGGGGCTCCCCGCTTCTGCCTCCAGGCGCCTGCCCGGGACTAGGGCTTCCTGGGGGCGCAGAGCCGCGCGGGCCGGGCAGGAGGCAGCCGGGCCAGCCAGGCCGTGCTGGGGGGACTGCGACCTTCCACATTCAGTGTGAGCACTAGCCTGGGAGTCCTCTCGGTCCCCTGCGAGGTTCCCGGCACTGGTGGAACACGTTGGCCCACGCTGCGCCGCGTTCCTCCCGCCTCTCCACAACCTGGACGCTCACAGCCGC